AATTATGTATTTATGATTTTAATTTGATGTAAACCGCCCAGAGTCCCCCATAGTGGGGAGATGGGCAGGGACAAGTTCAATAAATAAATAAATAAATAAATAAATAAATAAATACCTGAGAATAATGACATAGAGAAATAGATTGGCACTACCAGCCTATTGATAACACTCAACATCAAAACTTTTGATGACCTCCTCCAGCAGTTTCATGTACATGTAAAAAGCACTGGTAACAGAACTGAGCCCTGAGGTGGTTCATGCTGCAGTTCTTATTTTGAGCAGTACAGGTAGTCCTTGCTTAAGGACAATTGGGACCAGCAATTCCATTGCTAATCAACATGGTCGCTAAGCAAAAAAATCACATGACCTCAGCAGATTTACAATGTCACTTCTTCTGCAGTACTTAAGTGAATCACTCATGGCTGTTAAATAAGACATAATGTGACCATAGCTTGAGATTTTACTGCCATCTTCACTGACTCTGCTTGTCGGAAGCTGGCTGTGAAGTGTGTAAATGGCAGTTGTGTGACTGTGGAATGCTGCAAAGGTTGTAAACGCCTGCTGGCTGTGAATCACCTGAATCTTGATCATGTGATGTTGATGGTCATAAGTGTAAGGACTGGTCATAAAGTTACATTTTCAGAACTGTTGTAGCTGCGAATGGCCACTTAACAGGGTAGTCATTAAGTGAGGACTACCTGTGGTTGGAGAACCAAAAGAATATATTTACAAGAACACTGAAAGGGTATGGCAAGACTTACAGAGGGACCTTGAGGACCCGGCAATCCAACATCTCCTTTTTCTCCCTTCATGCCATTGGATCCCTACAAAATTGTATGGAATTATTGTACAATACTTTCATCTCATCAGCTGATGAATTTTGCTGTGATGAAACATGACTTGTTATGTTATTACTTACATGTATAATTAAAAGACATAATTTCACTTTATACTTTTATCCAGCCTCACACCCCAAGCATATCAATTCAACCCTAAGCCATTTGAGCCAATATTAGGCTGGCTGAAGCTGTGCTGCATCCCAGCTTCAGCTATTTCAAGACTTCAGGTGCAACTCAAGTTATGCAATTAGAAACTTTCTTAGGTGTTCCTACTGGATTCGATATGTTGAAAATTAGTAGATCTTCAATCTGTCCAGCTTTGAGTATGTCTGTGCATTTGGCATATCATTAATTGTCAGATTTATGATTTGGCTGACCCTTATGTTTTGATGTTCAAAACAATGCTGGTGCCCATTAAACATGTAGGACTCTTGCCAACCAAGGCACCAGGTTGGCAAATGCCACTCTATAGTGACCAATAATGGTCCTCCAGGGTCTTAGACTGGGTTCCTTCAAGCCCTTGGAGATAGCAGAAACTGAACATGGAATTATTTGTATGTAGTACTTGTATTCTATCCTACTGTGTTTTTGCAAGCTACCTTGTTGGAAAGTTGAAACATACCTGTTCTGTTAAAGAAGTACAGTTACAAAGTAATTTAGTAAAAATATTTTCAGATTTATTCAAATATTGGTTTTGTTTCAGTCATAATACAACACTGAACTTTAAATTTATGAAATACAGTGGTACCTTGGGATACGAA